TCATGACAATTTTAAAACTAAATTCCTAAATTACCAGAGTTGAAGTGGTTGAAGTCAAGATGTCCAGGATGCAAACTCTGCCATCTTGTACATCTGGACACAAAGTTTGTGCAGTGCTGATCGGGGGTGGAGGTGATGTGGTATCGACCATTCACGAGTCAGTCCCAGCTGTCAATCACGACATTTCAACCTTTTTTCAATAGGATCAAATTACTAATTAAAACAAAACTTACTGAAAGAATGAAAACTTGAACTGACATCAGCGTGATAAGAACTACCGTAAATAACAGAACTCATCTTTGAGATATTTATTTAACTTTGTAGTTTGTCCTATGTCCCATCCACTAACATGGAGGAGGAGACCTATTCTACAGCCAGCCACCAAGTAACAACCAAGATGACTTATAAAGAGTCGATGGTAAAGAGACAGTCTTTTTAGTAATACTTGAAGGACATAGAGTTCGTATATTTTAAACTAAACTTCCTAAATCCCCTGAGGATTTTTAAATATATATTGTGCTTCAGTGGTCCGAGAGTGTTTTGGTTGTCATTCCCCTGAATTTTAATAACTTCCGTGTGCTTTGTATAGATAACTCCCCCAAAATAACAAAAACTATGTCTGGAACATATTGTTCCTTTCAAACACAACTGTGTTCAGCTGCAATTACCTCAGAAGCTGCACATTATACCTCTGGTGCCAGAATATCCTGTGTGGGTAACACTGCTCTGAAATGGTGCCATCAAGTGGAAAGTGTGTGAAATGCAAAATGATAAACTGTGGGATTGTTGCTACTGAGGAATTTAAAGCTTCCAGGCTTGTTCTAATTACAGAAATCTATATTAAAGTTTGAAATCAGCTTTGACTTCGCCAACATCACAAACTGTCTGGATATGATGTCTGGGAGTTGAAAATGTGCTGATGCTGATAATTTGTCTATTAATCAGGTTTCTTTACATTTCACTCTGTTTACCGGTTCTGTATCTGTTTTATCTCTGCTGGCACCTGCTGTTTTCACTCTTTCTTCACCTCCTCTTCATCCCTCATCTCTCTCTCTCTCTCTCTCTCGACACTGGTGAAGGGATTCACTTTCAGCAAGAAAGCAAAGAAGCAAATTGCCCAGAACTATTCCTTCAGGTGATATTTTAAAATGATGATGTTACTTAAAGTTCTGAATGGAACGGAACAGTCATCATGTGCACACTCACATCCACGATGTCCAGATGGGACAGCCCAAGGGCATTCAAGGAAACAGCTGCAAATGGTGAGTGATGCGGCAAAAGGTCTCGGGGACAGTTCACGTATACTTACACATCTATGTATTTATGCAAGGACGTGGCAGATATCCTGGCCTTGGCTTGACATAGACAAGGAGCACACAGCAGCTGCTGACCCAACTGATTCCAAAACGTTGACCTGGTCAGCTGGTTGGCGATTCCCCAGCTGGTTGCCTGTGGTGATGGCTGACAAGTTAGAGGGGCGGAGGAATAAACGAAGCGGGGTGGAGAGGTGGTCTGGAAGAACAGGGGGGAGCGACAGAACAGGACAAAGTAAAGGACCTTATCTCGCTTTCTTCTGCAACTTAAACGCTGACGATGTTCTTTCCATCAAGCCTCAAGTTTCACACATGTTGGTGCAAGAGATAAAAACTGAGTGGGGGCAACTCGAAAATGAATATTCTCGATGTGGGTGTGTTTCTGTGCATTTGAGCAAAATAACAAAACCATGAGACAAAAGCACTGTGACATAAAGAGGCTCTGTGTTTCTGTGCTTTGGATTCGCATGAGTGGCTTTTTAAAGTTATCGTAAAGAAAAACTCAAGGGAATTGTTTGTAATGGCTGCGAAGTCTAAGCCCATTACGGCCAGAAATCAAAATGGATAATGGAAAATGATAGAGGTTAAGGAACAAGGTCAGAGAGAGTCAGAGGAGGACCGGAGAGCGGAGGAGGAGCAGTCAAGCAAAAAACTCTCTGGATAATTAGGGATTTTGAGAAGGAGCAAATAAGCAAGGAGCGATGGAGGAAGAGAAGGGAAACAAGAGACTGGAGGAGCAGGTGAAACATGGAGAGACGTGAGGAGGATGAAGACGATTGAGATGGGAAGGTTGACGATGAATATGGCGGTTTGTGTTAGAAGGAAGAAAAGATGAGTAAGGAGAAGAGGGATGAATGTTAAAGGGTGCAAAGACAGATATCCTCTTTTTTCTGGATGGGGTTAGAGAGGCTGCTGTGACGTACTGACGATCATTCAAAGTGACACTTGCAGCAGATATGAAACCATGTCTGAGCAAGCATGACTGGACAAGAATAATCGTCACACTTACTGATGTGGGCGCACAACATTTAGCCAGACTCCTGTGAGACTTCCTCAGATCTGGAGACGACTGTCTTAATAACACGCAAAAGTATCTGTGATCAAAAGCAACACATATTTGAACGAGTTACTTTAACGTCAGAGAAAATCTGGCACAGTCTTGGATACGTGTTTGGGTTTTGCTGCTTGAAACTGTTTTTGTTGGTGATTCGGCTGAATGATTTGAGAGAAACGAGACTGTCCAGGATGTAGGAAACAAACGGTACAATTTCAGTGACTCAAAACTCAGAGCCTGACACTCACCCTCTGTGCGCTGCATACATTCATTATTCCTCGCTCACAGTGGCAGGGTAACCTTCAAATCTGCCACATCAATCCCTTAATTATGCATATCAGGGCTAAATGAAACATCAAACCTCGGGGATGTGCTTTTTTCCCCGATAAAACCTTTAGTAGAGCTCAGGATGCTGCGGCTTTTAAACACTTACCTGTTAAAAGCATCCATCTGTCTCTCACCTTCACAGCTGCACGCACACACACACACACACCGTTCATTTGCAATCCCACAATCCACTTGATTGTGTGAGGTTAACTTCTGAACCACTCACTCCCTATTTCCAGTGTCACTCAAACTGTTTACCACTCTTCAGTGTTGTTCTGTTGCTCCTCCACTTTGGTCCAGACTGAAACATGAAATACATTTTTATTTGTCCCATTTCATTTAGATTTATGACCAAATACCTGCGAAACTAATGACGTTCCCCTGTCGCAAGAACAAAACAAGTGGAGGATGGAGACAAACAAAGAAAAAGAAATAAGCTGATACATAAGAAGAAGAAAACAAATCCAAACAGGGATTATAATGAGTTTGCTCATAGTGAAAGAGGCAGAATGGTAAAGGTAAGGTGGTGTGTGTGTGTGTGTGTGTGTGTGTGTGTGTGTGTGTGTGTGTGTGTGTGTGTGTGTGTGTGTGTGTGTGTGTGTGTGTGTGTGTACTGAGGGTAGTTGTGTGTGTTTAGGGGGGGGGGAATACAAGATGAATACTGCATTATATTGTATTATTATATAAACATCTACATATGGTTAAGTGGTATGAATATGATACAGATACAAAGCGAAGATAATAATATAACATATTAGCTAAACTGTATCAGGTTTACATTATTCATAACTTCATTAGATTTTCATAATATCAGTATTCATAGTAAAAGCAACTTTGCACCACAGCTAAAACATGAAACGGAGCCTGTAGAAGGAGAAGCCAAGTCACCCCTACGTGTCATGGGAGGATACGTCACCACAGCAAGAGGGTCAGTGTTACTCACTGGCTTTTGTCACAGAGGTACTGCCGTGCTATCTACTCTGGCCCAGGCTGACAGTGCCCTTGAAGTTGGACAGAAGGTTAAAGTTTGTCAAACGACACATGCACGCTCACGACTGTGCTACAAACCGAGCTGATTCAGCTGCTCGCCCACGGGTGGCGTGGACAGGGTGGGTCTGGGCGCGTTCATCATCAGCTCTCTCTTCGGAGGGGGGGCTGATCTAAAGGCCACGGACCAGGTCTGCTTCACATCTGTCTGCACATCTGGAGAAGTGAAACCTTCTCTGACATCATGATTCACGTGAGTTTAGACATGAACACTGAGCAAAGAACCATTGTTGTGAACTAAATGTATAAATATATTTATCCATAATAGAAGTTAACCCAAACCCCAAACTGTGCCATGGACATTGCAAACATCATATGTTTACTAAACGTCTTGTGTTCACCTTCATCACTTATTCATTTGGTTGTGTGTCAGTATTAAACTAGATGAAGTGCATGAATGACCTTTTGCTTTTCACTAAGAGGATCTGGTTTTGCTGAGCGTTCGCTTCCCTCTGAAGACGTCACAGTTAAATCTTGTTGCACCAAGATCATTTATTGCTGGTTATAAGACATGGATATAATATTTTGTCCCCTGCACAGAGTAGATATCAATATTCTTGTAATGATATAAGTAAATAACGTGTAAATGATGTTCAACTCTAGCAGGAATTGGTTAAAAATCATCTCTGTGTTGGGAGAGATATCTTTACACGTCCGACAGCGTTAAATAGGTTTAGTGCTCATGAAGAGTAAATCAGTAAAAGTGAATTCTGATTAACACTTACAAGCTCTCAGTGTAAAATGTTAATTACACTATGGATGTTATTTTGCTCATAGTGTGAAATTTGATTAACACTTTGCAGTGGAGTGTAAAATATTTACTGTGCAGTGTCTTTGTTATTGGTTCTTGATAGGAATCAATCGGGAGTGATGCAGTTATATTGATTCTGCAGCTGCTGCAGCACTTCGGCCCCAGATAAATTTCCCCATGGGGACAATAAAGTATATTTGATTTGATTTGATTCATTATTTGACTAAGCGTTCTAGATGGTCACAACCACTTCAATAAAATCTATCTGCTGTGAAGATGCAGCTGGAGCTAGAGAGAAAGAGCAACACAGTCCCCTTGTGGATGCTCAAAGAACTGCAGAGAGTGAGTGAGGTTTTTTTGCGTACATTAATTCCTTTTTACACTTAAATCACCAAAGTCTAAAATCTGAATATCAAACATTTGCAGTATTTTGAAAGTGTGAAGTCCAAGTAATGGAAATCTAGAGCTAGCAGCTCTCTTAAAGAGGAACACACCAGAGAGTCACACGTTTGCAGTCACTGGCTTTATGTATAGGTCAGATTACAAAAAAACAATTACACAAACCATATAAACAATATGCATGAACATATCCACCATAGTTAGATTATTCAAATAAGGATTTTATATCCATAAATATATCTGTTTCAATTTCACATTACAGGTTAGAGCCAGCAACGACACGTCACAGCGAGGAAGGGTGACTTGTGCAGTAATACATTTCAGTGGTCCGGTTAGCATGTCAGTTAGTTGGTTAGCTGAAGGCAAAAAACAACAGAACCCGGATTCACCTGAGCTTTCTGGGCCTCTCAGAGCAGGAGTCAGTTTTCATTTCTCTCAAAGTATCCAAATACTTACAGACGTGAGGTTGAACTTTTAGCAGTGACTGCTGGGAAGGTCAAGTGTGTGTGAGGTTTCTTTATTGCAGGAGAACACGGTGAATGTTAATGCTGGTTTAATCACTCTTTACTGCCTTTTTTTTCTGTGCTTCTTTCATCCTTCCTTCTGTTTGTTGGCTCATGAGGTTCAGTGTGTTTCATGTAATCAGATCAATCTTAAGCATGTGATCCACTGTGTGTATTGTCTTGAAATAAGACAGCTATATGTTCTTTCTAACGCCAGAGTGCAGTGATTCAACTTCGCCTAATTTGAGTTGTTTAAAGATATTTAGGGTTGGACCTTCATGCAGTGAATCAAAAATGAGATCTGTGCTAAACTATAACCACGGCATCAACCACACAGTGTGACTGCAACCAAGCGAAGGGAAACGAAGGCACAGAGATGTATTTTATATCAAACACACTCTGATGGCTGTTAAAGAACTCAAGCAATGAGTCATCGGTGCAGAACTTCAGTCTACATATGGTCACCGCTTCGTTAAAAATATCTGTGGATTTGCAATTGTTTAGAAGTATCCACATGGCAACTGGAACATAAGTATTTAAAAAAGAAAATGAAAGAAAAAGTGTATCAGTGATCAGCATCTACCCGTGGAGCTGGTGGCACAGACCAAGAGGCAAAACTTACGTGACGTAACTGCGCAGTAGTTAACTTTTAGTCGATTTTAAATGAAAACCCTTAAACACTTGTTTGTGTCTGGCCAAAAAAACTAATTTCTTTTTTCAAAACTGGACAAAAATGATTTCTGCAGCCTGATGGAACTTCATCATGAGTTTTCTTCTTGCTCTACTTGCTGTTACTCATGACAGGGTTAACTTTTGTATGCACAGACATAACTGAATTCATGGTGACCTGATCCCAGTCCTGCTGTATAGATAAACATTTGAGCTAATCTCTTATGTAAGCTTACAAGCGCTGAGCTAATGAGGCATCAGTCACACAATGTTTGTTTCATTTCACAAACTCTGTGACAGGTGGAATGATAATGGAAGGTACGGTAGGCGACCAGAAACGAGCTGAATTCAGGAGAAACAGAGACAAATATTCAAAAGGTACAAAATGATCTCTGGCGAGAAATGCAGGCGACCAAATAACAAAAAGTAAAACAAAACATAAAAAGTGCAAAATTAAAATCTGATCATGACATTAAAAGATTAAAACACATGTTTGTATCTTTCTATTAACCCGCATTCCATTGATTTGAATATATTAAACATACCTATGCTAAAGTGTACAATCTGAATCATTCCATTGTAGTCAGCAGCAGATGATTCTCGCTGTAGGAACCTTGTGTGAAACCTGATATGAGCGAAACTGAATTCCTTAACTTCATTAAATAAACAAAATCTTTATTATAAATAACATGTTGCTATACCAAAAAAAACATTTATATATATATATATATATATATATGTGTATATGTATACTGTATGTAGAATACGCTTAATGCACCAATGTGCTAAGAGGTATTTAAATGTATTAAATGTGGATGTGATACTTTATATGATACTTTATATGATACTTTGCTCGTCGGGTACAATGAAAACTTTGATCTGTTTTTTTTAACTTTCCAATTGATCATTAGCATATCACATTTCAACTGACCAAGGCACCCTCAAATTTCATCAAGTGGGCAGTGAGTTGCCACTAAGTCGAATTCACCAACCCACTTGATTTTAAGGAAGAAAAATTAAATCAATTAATTTTAACTACAAAGAAAGAAAGAAAGAAAGAAAGACAGAAAGAAAGACAAGCTTGAGACGTATTAGTGACTGACTACAATGGAAGTGACCTCGAACACTGTGACTCTCAGGTTAGACGTTTCTGCCTCTGTTGATGACGTTGCCCCCTGGAGGTGCGATGTGGATAGAGTCCAGGATGGGCCGCAGTATTTGGCCGAATGGTCTGCAGACGGAAGAAAAGAGACGATTAGATTCTTCAGACTGACAGCGTTTTGAAACAGATGGTTTTGTGACTAATCCACAGGTGACATGATTTGGTTAGCTGATCTATAAGTGTTATTACTGCATCCTCTAATCCTCCGGCTTGCTTAGATTGATCAGGGAACAGAAGTGTTTGTGTGGTTTCCGTCGGGCCGCGGGGTCAAACTTTGAAACAGGCAGAGATCACTGTGTTAGGGTGAGTCAGCTGAGGGACTGAGGTCTACACTCACGTGGAGAGGACTTCGGACGGAAGGTCAGTGATATAGGAGGGGATGGTCCTGCCGGTCAGGAACTGAGCCACCTCATTGGTGAAGGTGTTGCAGTTGTGCTCAAACAGACGATACCTGTCCCCTCTGAACCAGGAGGGAAGAGAGTACAGAACACATAACCCCGATGATTAGACGTCATATATAAACAATGAATAGTTTTTCTGCATGAGAGGGTTATTATTGAGTTATTTCACCTGTATGTGCTTTCTCCAAGGGAGGAGAGGTAATCCATGAAGATTTCCTCGGACACTTCAGTCTCACCCAGCTCCACTACATTGTCTGGAGGTCCCAGCATTGTCCCACCCTGACAAACATATAGCACACACACACATATTGACACAATATGTGACTGAAGACAGTAGCCTGATCATTGTGGTTTGATTGATCTGAGCCCTGTACTTCTCTTACACTAACACTTAGTGAGTAAACACAGGTTTCAAAAACAACTCCTTTCCCATAACCAGTAGAGAAGTTTCACCAGGAGTCAGTCCGACTTACCGGTGAACAGCTGGAGATCCCCTCCCCTCCGAAGAAGAACTCATCACCGTACGCCACGATAGCCGTGTGCCTGGAAGAAACACACACACAGTATTATCCACATTTGCAGGCACGTCTAATTGAAACTCATCAACTTTTTTTTTTTTTATCAAATAACAAACTAAAAGCCATTTAGCCAAAAAGATTTTTGGGTAGTGGAAATAAATACTAAATACTAGATTAAACAGGCCTTGGACAGATACAAGACAATCTGTTAGACATCTATGCTTTTTAATCTGATTATAACTATTCCTGTGTTTACATATGATGAATGTTAACCTCTGAATTTATGATGATTGAGTTGGCGAATTGGATTTTAATGTTTGGTTTTATATTGAAGTATTCTTGTTTACATACCATGTATTGTAAGGTGTACTTGGGTGTTTAGAAAGGCTGCATAAAATAATAATTACCATTATTATTATTATTATTATTATTATCTATACCAGAGAAATTATGAGGGACAATATATGTGTAATAGTCTTTAGGGACTATTGGGACTTTGTTCGTGCTAAATTCATGTCATGATGATGTTTGTGACAAAGAGTTGTAATGTACATTTGGTTGAATCCCCTCTGACTAATTTGACTCGTGAATTTGGAGTTTACAGAAGTTCACACAATTCCTTTCAGCAAAATCCAAAACATAAAAAAAACTGGGACAGAAACACTGACACCAACAAAGCAGCTGATTTCACCCAGAGGAGGATTCTCGATCTTAAATAGGTCGCTGGTCTACATCTGACCGAGCTGCACGTTGCATGACTGTGTTTCATAAGAGAGGAACAGAGGAGAGGCTCTCACCAGATGCCATCCAGCTGTTTCCCTGTGTGAGAGAAGAGGGGACAGCAGTGAGAAGAGGCAGAAGATCTCCTGCTCAAGACATGTGTCAACAGAAACCAGCCATGTTCTACATTGTGATCTAAGCTGTGTGGTCCTGATAGCTCCGCCGCAGAGAGCACTCCTCTTCTCCAGCCGGTGTCTGTTGTCATCACTCGTCGGTGGCTGAGGCCGGGACTGCACCGGGGTTTTTTTTTTTTCTCCGAGTACTCACCCAACATGATGGGGCTGAGGCTGCGAGCCATCCCTCTCGATAGATCGTAGATGTACAGCTGTACATTGTACCGCGTAGTACTCTTATCCATCGTGTACAAATATCTGTATTTTAACGGGTTTGTTTATTAGCTGCCTCGGCTAGGCTCGTTCGAACAGCTGACTGGGCGGGGCTGACAAAGATGACGTCATGACGTATTCTTCTTCTTTTTTTTTTCCCGCGGACGGGCCACAGTTTGGCGCTCTGCTGCCCCCTAAAGTATATAACATATAAATGGAACTAAACGAATGTAAACAGTGTAAAAACAGGAAGGATAATGTGAAATAATATAATAATCTCTATTGTATTATATGTTTTTATTGATTTAAATAATTATTGTATTTTATTAACGTATGTACACATACAAACAAGTAACACACATTAACACACACAAGAAAACTTCTGCTGCTACTACTGACTGTCTTTGCACTATTATTTTTGCTGCTACTTCATACATTTGCACTACGAACTTTCGTTTTATTTATTGTCGACTTTAGTGTTAGGATATGTCTGTCTCTATTTGTTGTGCCTGTGCACCTCACTGTTACTTTAGTGTTAGAAACTGTCTTGTCTTGTCTTCACCGTGGGATAGTTAGGAACGTAATTTCAATTCCTTTGTATGTCTGGTATGAGTGAAGAAATTGACAATAAAGCTGACTTTGACTCAACATTCCTGTTTTCCTGATCAATTAAGTCTGTCTCAGTACGACGGACTATTAGGGCCACATTAAAAAAAATAATTAGGGAATTAATTACGAGAATAAAGTCGTTATTAACTATACTAAAGCACAATTCCACGAAATGCTCCACGGCCCTCATTTTTACAACTCTCCTCCTCTAAAACAAAGGGTTAGAATATTTACGACTTTATTCTCGTAATTAATACCCAAAAAAGTTTTTTTTAAAATGTGGCCCTAATACTCTGTTGTATTCTCAGGCTGAAAGGGAAAAAAACACAAGACAAAATAAAACCCAAAAAAAGAATAAATAAAAAAACAGAAATCTCATGTTGATGGAAGCAGCTCAATGAGTTTCGTATGTTTGACACATTTAAATGATTCAAACAAAGGTTTTTAACTAAAACTGATTTTTGATTTTGAAATTTCTGAGTAAACAAAACTTCCCACACACGTGGTTGCACTCGCTGGTTCACCCTCCGGATCGGAAGGTGGCGCTAAAGCCCCCGAGCCTGCGTCGCTGCCCCCACAAAGAAGACGCCCCTCCTGCCTGTAGCTTTGTGGGCTCTGGATCAAAATAGACAGTCGAGGGCTGAGCAGCTGACTTCCAGCAGAAATGGCTGCCACCGGAGTTCTTCCCTTCATCAGGGGGATGGACCTCAGTGGAAACGACTTCAAAGTAAGACTTTTAATCCACAGTCTCACGCGGCGTGTCCATCGCCAACTTTGGCTTGGCTAGGCGGCTAAAGCTAAAGTTAGAGGCTGTCGGTGGAGCTCGCTAAAACATTAGCTTAGCTCATCGGCTGTAGCATTGGGCGTTAGCCAGTTGTCAGATGTTTCACATGGACTAAGCAGAGTTCGAGTAGTTTCCTGTCTGTACCTCTGTTTTTTTTCACGGAGCCGTTTACGTTAAAAGGTCGTTGTTAGCTGTTGGACTAGCATCCGCAGTTTGGCGTAGCTTCCAACTTATTTCCCACGTCACGTTCGCTAGCTGCTTAGCTTCGGTGTTGTGGCTAACTGTGGCTCCGGTCAGAACATGTCACCTCTGTCCGTGTTTACCTTAGATTACACTGCGGCCCGAGAACCACGCTAGATTACGTTGTCGCTGGTTCGTTGAGTGGCTGCAGACATGTCTGTGAACTGTGACCCACTCTGAGCTCAGCGTGGAGGCTCAGGGAGCAGCAGTGACAGCTGGGGACAACTGACGAGAACCGACGAGAACTGACAACTGTCTGTGTTCAAACTAAGCTATGACTTTATTATAGTAGTTGGATTAAACTGCACATGACTGGTTCGTCGAGTCGGTCTTGTTAGTCAGTAAATGGCTGACGATGAAAATCTATTTTCTGTCTGGGATGACATCATTTCCTCTGCCTCAGATCAACACGACTGCAACAGACATTTTTCTGATGTGTCATTTTCTGACAGTAAAAGAAAACACACAATTAAGTCTGTTGTACATTTTTAAATTTCGGATGATTTCCACAGTTACACCGACGACCTCTTAATATTGACTCCAACAGGGCTGATGTCAGATTCTATTCTTGTTCACAGGCTGGGGCTGGGCAACAGAACGATAACTATAATTATCACAATTAAATTTTCATCCAAACTATTATAACAGAGGTTTAATATTTACAAGATTCTGCAAATACATTAGTTTATCTTCCTCCATTTTTGCTATTTTAATGTCACTGATGTGTTTTACAGGCATCATCACAATTGCTCCGTCACACAGCTACAGTAAAATTGGAAGCTGTATTGTTTTCAAAAGTCATTAATGTCTCCTAATTGTCTGTCTCTTCAGGGTGGGTACTTCCCAGAGCACGTCAAGTGCATGAGCAGCCTGCGATGGCTGAAACTGAACAGGACAGGACTGTGTTACCTCCCAGAGGAGCTGGCCTCTCTGCAGAAGCTGGTGAGACATTCAGGCCTTTTTGCTCATTATTAGCTCGGACTCACATCTGTATACATGGCAGCCATCAATTCAAGACATTATATGCATGTATCACATGGTTTATTCTTTATTCAATGTTCATATCCACTGCTGGAGATGGAGATAATGCAAAAGGACAACAATAGCAGTGGTGTAATTGTATTGGTAATAATATTAATAAAACCTTAATCTTAGCAACCTATATTAACTCATCAATTTTCCATATATTATCGCTTATTATCTTTGTTGTCATCAGTGAGTTCAGTCTCTGGGACAAAATATAACAATCTTTAACTTTATGCTTAAGTTGTCGGTAACAGAGGAGATAACAGGAGCAGATTGATGCGTTTCACCTGTAAAACCTCACCTGACCAGGAGAGGTCCTTGCTTTAATCCTCAATATATCTGATGGGATTATCTAATCTAATTCTCCAAAGCAGTGCTCAGCAGGCCACAGTAAAAAGATGATCTACGCTAGTACGCTTGTTCTTATCTCGAGTAGGTAAACAAGATTAGTGTGTTGTCACGCCTCATACTTGTTGTTCTTGGGCTGTGTTTCGCTAAACTGCTGCTGAATTCTGATTTCAGGAACAATGAAAAGGCAGATCTCATGTTTTTATGCTTTTTTATCCAGTTTGCGGTTATTTTATTCTGTTTAGAGACAACTGAGCATTAGTGTAAGTGGCACTTAATGGGATATTTTTATGTTGTTTTAGATTATGTCATGTGTGCAGTTGGTTGTGTATCTGTTAAAAACCTCCCCCCTTTTCTTTCTTTAGGAACATCTTTCAGTCAGTCACAACAGCCTGACCACCTTACATGGAGAACTGTCCAGTTTACCAAATCTACGGGTAACTGATACACGCATAACAAAATGCATATAAAGTACATGTAGAATCATTTTGTTATATAATAGACGTATATCAATGATGTTTGAGTGTCTGTCAATGATTTCCATGAAATGCTTTGATAAGTTTGCATAGTTTATTAGTATATAGCTATAATACTATAATAACAATAATAATATTAATAATGTGTTTCATTATGTGTGCAGGCAGTGGTAGCCAGAGCCAACAACCTGAAAAACTCTGGAGTCCCAGATGACATCTTTCAACTTGATGATCTTTCTGTGCTGGTATAATAATCTCAACATCTTTTCTTTTCTGCGTATCATTTTTTAATTCTACCCACAATTTTTTTTTCCACTTTAACTTCACATATGCCATCCTCTCCCTGCTTTTGAATTCATTATGAAACAGTCTTGTTCCAAAAGTAATTCTAGTTTTAAGACAGTGTTTGCAACAAAACATCATCATGTTTTTGTTTCCTCCCCAACGATTTAACTGTCTTACTTTTCCTTTAGGACCTGAGTTACAATCAGCTGACGGAGATCCCCAGGGACTTGGAGAACAGCAGGAACATGCTGGTGCTGAATATGAGCCACAACAGTATCGACTCCATCCCCAACCAGCTGTTCATCAACCTGACAGACCTGCTGTACCTGGACCTGAGCGACAACAAGCTGGACAGTCTGCCGCCCCAGATGAGACGCCTGGTGCATCTGCAGACTCTCATACTAAACAACAACCCACTGATGCATGCCCAGCTGCGGTAAAAACACATGCCCCCTTTTTTTTTAAATAATGCTATTATTCTTTGCCATCTATTCTTAGCTTCACACATTTACGCTAACACCTAAAAAAGTCTTAGGTCCCGTGTTAAGTGTAAAAAGTAAGTTTTAAATACTTTCTTTTGTTTGTTTCATCTGCTGCTCTTGTCTTTGTGTGTTTGTGCGTGGGTCCGAGCAGCCAGCTGCCAGCCATGGTGGCATTACAGACTCTTCACCTGAGGAACACGCAGAGGACCCAGAGCAACATGCCCACCAGCCTGGAGGGCCTGACACATTTAGCAGGTAATACACATACACAACATACACTATCACTGACATACTCACACAGACACTTTCATACCTACGTTCTTTCTTTCTTTGCACATACATTTTTTAAGAATTGCATCACCATACATTTCCTCATACCCTTGGAGGGGAATCCAAATTTTTTTTTCTAAGCATACTTCTTGTCTCCCTCATATCTCTCCTAGATGTTGATCTGTCATGTAACGACCTGACTCGGGTGCCGGAGTGCCTGTATTCGCTGGGCAGTCTGAAGAGACTCAACCTGAGCAGTAATCAGATCTCTGAACTCTCTCTGTGCATTGACCAGTGGACTCTGTTGGAAACGCTTAATCTGAGCCGCAACCAGCTCACCTCACTGCCGGTTAGTACGATTGTCTCTAGAATATTGTTGTTGTTCAGCTGGTTATTTTGAAAAAATTCCTGTTTAATGACTGTAAGATATCTAACAGTTAAAGTTTATGTGTCTCCATCTAGTCCGCCATCTGTAAACTGTCCAAACTGAAGAAGCTGTATGTAAACTCCAACAAACTGGACTTTGACGGGGTTCCACCAGGTGTGGGCAAACTCGCCAGCCTCACTGAGTTTATGGCTGCTAACAACAACCTGGAGCTCATCCCCGAG